TCATCATACACTTCAATTCATTCCACTTTTTACATCACAATTCGTACACTACAGTTAAATACAACAAATAATGTCCGCAATACTTTTCTGGGCTTATTGTCTGTTCAAATAATTTTGTCGTATATCTGACTATTGTCGTATCATACATCAAGTTGGCTTGAAGATAGACAGCTCTGAGTTGACTTAGTCAACTTTTCAAATGTGGTTGCGTTGATTAAATATTTTCTAGAATAAGCGCATTGGGACACTACCTGGGGTATGAAATTGCTGTCGGGTGCATATCGCAAACGTGCAAAAACTGATGGCGATACTGAGCACATTGCAATTGTAAGACTGTGAGAACTTCACTGGTATTCTCAATAAATTCCAACATTGATTTGGGAGTCCATATGACAGCGGCATGACAGATGACTGCTATGAAGCGTGGAAACTTGGGCAAGTTGGTAGGACATAACTGAAAGTCAACGCTCTTTTCTATCCTTTCTTTTTTGCTTTTGTAGTTATGCAGTAACTACTTCTACGTTGTGCTGCTCGTACTTTCAGTTATGTCTTACCAACTTGTCCAAGTTTACAAGCTTCATATAGTTTGTCTACACATATGCTGACTCAACTGTTCATCGTTATGAACTCGATCACTTTGTTATCATATGCCTTTGGAAGTCCTTGCACAAACAAATCGATATTCCCATCACCAAAACAAAGATCAGTTTTCATTATTATATATGCATTGTTCATCGACTACATAATAGCAAACATTTCTGATCTTAACAAAAGCCGGAGGATTAGCTGCTTCAGTATTATTTTTTTCAGGCAGACAAAGACGTTATATTCGCATATTAGAAATTTCAATTATCAACTCTTTCCAAAGACAGACTTCAGCATAAATTGAAGCCATTGTAACAGGTTCGGCAAAGCATTGCAATCGTGTCTCTGATGCACAGCAGCACTAAAAGGAGGTCATTTGCTTAGTCTGCATGAAGATGCATCAGAACAGAATGCAATAAGCATGTTAGAAAAACTGATAGCTGTGGGCATCATACAGAAATGAACAAACAGTACAGTAGACTCTCAGTAAATGGAACCTAAAAGGACCAGGAAAATATGTTCCATTTAACAGGAGTTCCTTTTACTGAGAGGTGAACATAAACGCAGAATACAAACCCGAAACCAAGCAGTGCAAAAGCAATAGTTTCGTTTAAGCAGTAGTTCCATTTAACAGGTTTCCATTTAATGAGAGTCAACTGTATACTCACCCTTGTCTTCAACAATTATAAGCACAGTGGCTTATGTTTGTTTGAATTAACATTGGAATGAAATACACAGAAGCTGATCTTCTTTGAAAACGTTTTTAGTCCCAGAAACTCTGGCACTAGGAAGGCTGCCCACCTCATATTTAGAAAAAACAGCATGAGGACAGGACAAGAAACTTGACATACAAAAGAACACACTTCTTGTTCAGTCCGTGGACACATTTTCTAATCAAGTGCCCCGACAAGCCGTCTTCACCATCCTTTCTTATGCACTTTTTGATGGCACGATAGTCTATGCTAGCTGTTCCACTGACAAGTGCTTCTCGTTTACACACATTTTTTAGCAGGTAACATTTTTGCATTGGTTTAGCTTATAGTACCATCAGCTAGAAGTTCGGGGCAGGCTCACTGTAGATGTTTATTTCATGATTCAACAGGAGGCACAGTAAACAGCCAGTGCAGCACGAGGTTGGCACATACTGGGATGAGATTAAATTTTCTGACAGCCACATGTAGTGTCATCCCTCTGTGTCCACTGATAAAGAATGCTTGTCTAAGACACTCCAAGCTGACCCTATGCTTTGATTTATGTGTGCCTCCGCAAACTTAATTGCCTTTTCTTTAAACACTATTCTATCCCGAACATAGCCTTCATAGATTACGAGAAGGCATTTGATTCAGTAGAAATATCAGCAGTCATGCAGACAATGCGGAATCAGGGCGCCGACGAAGCTTATATGAACATCCTGGAATAAATCTACAGGAGATCAACTGCTAACACAGTGCTTCATAAAGAAAGCAATAGAATACCAATCAAGAAGGGTGTAAGGCAGGGGGATACAATCTCCCCAATGCTATTCACTGCATGTTTACAGGAGGTTTTCAGAGGCCTATAACGGGAACAGTTAGGCATAAGAGTTAATGGAGAGTACCTTATTAACATGCGCTTCGCCAATGACATTGCATTGCTGAGTAACTCAGGGGACGAATTGCAACTCATGATTACGGAGTTAGACAAGAAGAGCAGAAAAGTAGGTCTTAAAATTAATCTGCAGAAAACGAAAGTAATGTACAACAACCTTAGAAGAGAACAGCACTTCGAGATAGGTGATAGTGCACTTGAAGTTGTAAAAGACTACGTCTACTTAGGACAGATAATAACCGTGGAGCCAAACCACGAGACTGAAGTAACTAGAAGAATAAGAATGGGGTGGAGCACATTTGGCAAGCACTCTCAAGTCATGACAGGTAGATTACCACTATCCCTCAAGAGAAAGGTATACAACAGCTGTATCTTGCCGGTACTTAGCTACGGAGCAGAAACCTGGAGACTTACAAAGAGGGTTCAGCTTAAATTGAGGACGACGCAGCGAGCAATGGAAAGAAAAATGGTAGGTGTAACCTTAAGAGACAAAAAGAGAGCAGAGTGGATTAGGAGACAAACGGGGGTTAAGGATATCATATTTGAAATAAAGAAGAGGAAATGGACATGGGCCGGGCATGTAGCGCGTAGACAGGATAACCGCTGGTCATTAAGGGTAACTAAATCGATTCCCAGAGAAGGGAAGCGGGTTAGGTGGAGACAGAAGGTTAGGTGGGCAGATGAGAATAAGAAGTTTGTGGGTATAAATTGGCAGCAGCAAGCACAGGACCGGGTTAACTGGGGGAACATGAGAGAGGCCTTTGTCCTGCAATGGACGTAGTGAGGCTCATGATGATGATGATCCGAAACTGTCATAGTTCTCTCATTTTCACAGAAACGCAAAAAACTGAAAAAGCAGCCTGGAGCCCAAACAGATACACAAAAAAAATGAAAATGCAAAACAGGGCAGTCCCACAGCTAGCAAACAAAGCCATGATGGTAACAGCTATTGAGGCAGGTGGCTTCAGTCAGACATTGTTGAAATTCCATAGCTTTTGTCCAATGGAATACGCATAACAAGAGGGAGCCAGCTTTTCATTCACTTTTTATTTTTTTTATGATGGCCTACCCTATATTTTACATTAAATGCTGCATATGCAGTTCAATATTGGGATTGGGAGAAGCTCTCCTATTACTAGTGACAATAGGACACAGGTGCTTTATTGAAGATATAGCCAAAATCTTCCATTTGCTCGTTTTTTTTTTTTTTTTTTTTTTCATTTTATAACCAGCAGAATCCATGACTTGCTAAAGAGATTTGAATCCCATCTGCACGCAATGAACATGTGCTGAATTTAGACATAAGTCAACATCATGATCTTCGGACTCCCTAAGAACCACAGAATCATTCATAACATCAGGCAGCCCGAACAAACAAATTGATTTACTTATTCCACTCAAGCGGCCAAATCACCCCAGCCATAACCGAAGCAGCTTCAATGCCTGCCAAGACACTTATAATGCACCTTCATGACTGCCTGGGCTCTTGCGAACCCATTTCATACCTGCCGTCAATTCTGCTTCACTAAGTGTCAACCACCAGTTGACAATTTGTGCGAAAAAAATACATCTCATGGATTATTTAAAACCGCTCCTGTGATACAAAAAGGCTGTTGTGGAAGAGTGGACGACTCATTCAATTTCACCCAATGCACTAATGCATGAAAATCTCTGCACACACGCTGCATCTGCCACTATCACACCTCCATGCATTAGCGGTGCTTATCCGTAAACACATCAATGCACTGTGCCGCGACAGCAGACCAGCCATATTTTCAATATGCTTCATCCCATCATGCTTCAGCATTGCAGCAAAGCTGCCTTTCAGACACCACTACAGCAGCAAATGGATTAACCCACGAAGCGCTGCTTAGAACCTATGTGATGATAGACACGACATAGGTGAGGGTTTCAGTGAATGCCGTTTCAGGCATACCGTGTCAGCAGGAAGTCTGAAAAATCAGATGCCAAAAAGTTTCAGCGTACGAAATTTTGGATGTTCTGACTTCAAGGGACTTGCGACAATATTGCGAAAGCAGTCAAATTTTCAAGCATGTTCGAAAAACTGAGCCTCAGAAAATTTGGCGGTTGGCTGTACTGAGTAAAATTTACAATGATAATAGGTTCACTTTTAAAATAAAAGCAGTATAAATCAATACCCTACCTATTGAAACCTCGATTCCCTAGATCAGTAGCTTGAATAGAACATTGCCAAATCTAATAAGCAACATTTGAATTGATAAGTAATTTTTAGTTCAACTATTATTATTAGAGAGATACTAAACGAAAATTCACTTGTAGGTTCTGCACTGTGTGCACTGAAGTAATAAGCAAAGGTTTTTTGTGAAGCCTTGGGGTGAAAATAAAAGGTGTGGCTATCAGATGGACAAATTACTCGCCCTACTTCTTCTACAGGCATTATTTAATTCAGCATTTATGTCATATTTTTACACGAAGCCTATTCAGCCAGTGGCAAAAATTTGTTTGAATAATCGAGCGTGTCCGAATTATTGGTGACCAGATTATCAGCACATGTGGTCAGCGTATGGCCAGGATGTATATGTGCCCTGATAGGGTGCCCTTTTTTCTTTAAACGAATTAAGAAAAAAATCTATAAGCTATGCCAGGTAATACCATTGCGACAGGCTTTGTGGCTTCTTAGTGCCACGGAGTGTGCCTCATCAGAAATGACACATGTGCTACGGTGTATTCCAACACGTGAAGCAAATGGGTAAATGGCGTGCAATTTCTTCGGGTAGTGTAAACATGAGTTGCTAGATAGCAAAGATAAGCACGTGTTCCAAGATCCGAGACACATGCCCACTCACCAATGTAGTCGTTTTGTCCGAAGAGGGCTCTTCGTTCGCACCAGGCATCCTTAGGTGTGTAGATAGGCTGGCTCCCGAGCTTTCCTTTTTCCTTCGGTAGCCGTGGCAGGTAACCTGACAGCAGTAGCAGGTGAAAAATTTATACGACCATTGCCATGTGCACAATAGCTTCTTTTACGTGGTATCCATTTCAGTAGGATTGTATGTGCCCTATGTGAAAGAAGATGATAATGATAAGAACGTGAAAAAAGTCAATTTTTCTTTGCCAGTGATCGGACCAGCCAGTTTTTGTCACATTACAACATGACAATATGATATGTGTTTTAACAACAGTAGTTTCTTTTTTTTGTAAATAGAGCAGAAGATATAGCTGCAAGGTTTGGAAAAAAAGATAAAAATACATCTAAAGGCATTCAGTGGGTGGGAATGAGTAGGATGTTACAGATGGCTAGCATCGCCTGCTAATTACCACAAGAGGGAGTAAAGCTGACATCTATCACACAGACAACATTTGCACATCAGCTTTTTCTAAGCTTCGTTTGCTTTGTCACAAACTATAAAACAGTGCATACAGTGCCAAATCCCTCAGCGAACGGTCATTCATTAGACTAAAGCTTTAATTGCTAGAGTAGCTCGAGACTTCTTCACCAATGTTAATACGAATGAAATATACAGAAAAAGCATACACTACTTGTTAAATTCAAATTTTTTACAGACTGACTTCCATCACGGATTATGCAAATAAGCAACACCTTAGTGATTGCAGAATGCAGGAAATTACTTAAACTACCCTTTCTGATAACTCAATCTTTTCACAAATACAGAAAGTTCACTTAGGCAATACATATTCACTGTGAAGTGGTAAAGTACGACAAACACGCAAAAAAGAGAATAAGTAAGTGCACTATGAGCCAAGAGCCCTACAACAAGGTCTTATGTTCAAGACTTATCAAGTGCGAAAACCAAATAAAAATGAAAAGAGTGGACAATCACATCCCCAGTCTGCCAAGTGATGCTTTATTCTCAAACTCATTATCAATATGCACCATGCAGATTGCATTGTAGAAAACCAAGAATGTACAAGACGTAGCACATTAGCATAGACTGCAAAGAAACCACGTGTGAAACAGACCAACTTGTTCTGTGTTACAGAAATGCAGAGCTGACTTATGCTTAATGAAAAACTCTGTCTTACCCATTAAGTTATTATAAGAGACTTCAGAGGAAAGGCTGAGCCTATAAAGCCACAACCGCAAGAGCACCGACATGGTCGTATACTGCCATTGTTTCCATTACACTTTTTTACATATGCACTAAAACTAGAGCTATACAGAGCTAACAATAATCGCAATGTCAATATTAAACAATTATTTGTACGTATATTAAAAATGTGTCCACAATATTTGCCATTTTTCTTAATACATTCAGGAAGGAACTGATGACTGTCTGTGCAATTTACTCTGAGCAGAAAGTAGCATCTGCAGGCGGGTTTACTACATGGTGGCACCATATCTACATTTGAGAGCACAGTAGTGCCACCAATTGCACTGGATAGTGCGCCATGTGGATCACAGTGTCTCGTCGTCTGTGTACTCTGTTGTCACGTACCTACATTCCACTTTATATTAGTCTCTTTACTAGCGATGAAACCTTGGGGTTACACTTCAGCATACATTCATGTTAAGTACAATATTGACTAAAGCTTCTGGGTAACGTCTCACTCACATTCACCACTGCATGTTGTGATTGCTTTGCATATTTTTCTGTTTGATGGCTCCTTGCATTGAATAATGGCAACACTGAATCGCTAAGCAAGGTGTAGATGCTGGTGACTGTAAAATGTCTGATCACACCAAGTCGAGGTACTGCACGACCGCGGCCTGAACTCTTCGCTACAGGTTGCAAATCCACTGAATGATCCTTGTGTCAGCGAACAGAGCTCTATTAGCACTGTGTATGTGTAGTTCTATTCTCTATTTTGTTAACGAATACAATTAAAATAGCAAAATGAACTACCGAAATGCCCAAGCCTATACTCGGTATATTAGCTATACATTATTAGCAATCTGAACCAGCTGGAAACCAAGCACAGAGTTCAAAATTTTAACTACCGTTGTTCGCGCCAGTTGCATGGACAACACTGCATTACTACATGACTTCGTGCGTCAAGAGTCAACACAGACAGGTAGCTGGCATAGGTTTGAATATTTCAATTCAATATCACCGTCAAATCTCGAGTGCATCTCAAAAGCCAAGCGACACTGTTGGTTTTGTTCCATCATAGTGGTAAAAGTGGCACCGATATGGTTGCAGGTTTCAATCCATGGGCCCTACGAGGAGCGTTTTCTCTAAAGTCAGTACATTAACACCATGCGCTTGCTGGTATTCTGATCTCTGCTTTTTATTACACAAGCAGTACAACCAAAAAGAGGCACACAGTCACGTGTGAGGCTGGACAAATCACAGCTGTCTCCGAACTCCCAAATATTCAAAGCACAACAACCCTTTTGTGACGTCTGCTGCGATTGGGAAATCAATTATTTGAGCTTTTCATACTAAGAAACAACGTGAAGCATGTGTCAGCCAACTGTCAGTAGCCTTCCAGTGAAATAAATTGTTTTTTTGGAGAGGGAATGCATGTAGTGGGTGCAGTAAAGGTACAAGGCGCTTTTTATGTTCTTTGAGGTTATCATATGAGGCGTTCGTTTTTCTAAAAGAGCCAAATGCTCTTTACCTGAAACTGAAAAAAAACCTTTTTTCTACTGAAAATATGGCCGGGACTACTCAAACAACTTTTTGCTAGTATGTTCCTTTCCCCTAAATAGTACAAATTTATATTGTGACTAAGATCTAGATTACCCAATATCGTCAGTATTGAGGAGTAAAGTTTTTATTAGGCTCATATAGATTGGAACATTTCGTTTGGGCATGATTGAGCTCGTAAAATCAATGTAAAACTATTCGAATGTACGGCATAATATTGCGCGATAGAATTAATGTCATTCTTGCCCTCCCGAGGTTCCATGCTTCGTAGCATGGGCATAAATACTTGAAGAGCGAGTAGTCGTTCGTGGGAAAAACTGCACTATTCTGGACTATCATGAGTGTTTTCTTAATCTTAGCATCTACTGAAGGCCTTGAAAAGTGTTCCGGTTCATTTCACAACATGCCGCTCTGCTCCACTTCTTATCCTTTAGGCAATAGATAGATGCCCAATGTGTTCTTTTCATGTGTATTTTATTTTACATATACCGTGTTGGAGTGAGCGGAGGACATGATACTGTAGCGCTAAACTCGAAAAAAAAAAAAATCATTAAGAGGCAAAAAGAAGTTGAAAAGTCAGCCTCTTATTCTTTATAATCAAGTTGTGTCATTGAACATCATGTGCTTCAGTAAGCGCCACCACGCCCTTTAAAAACCTGATTGTGGAACGTAAACACGATAACAAAGCAATTAGGACACAAATGAAACATCTTGGGTGAGACCATGTTGGCTGTTTTGGTCACAATTGTTGGTGCAGTGTTCGTTTAATGAATGTGGCTCAGTTTAATTGCAACAGCCTGAGTCTGGCTTCTTAAGTTAATGTTACAATAAGGAATTACCCCATATTTATTAAACTGTTCTAGAAGTTGAAAATACTTAGGCGTGTTTTACATTCCCATGAAATTCATCTTATTTTCAATTTTTGCATTTACCTCTTCTTGAAAAAAATAGAAAAAAAAACGCCTCATGTTTTTTATAGAACCGAGTGTGCAGGCTTAGTGTACATTACTTACTTGTGACATTTAAACCTAAATAATTAAGGTTGAATTCCAATGGCAGAATGGGAGCAGTCTATAGACTCTGCGAGTGGCTCCTATAAAGCAATGCCTCCAAATCCGCGATTGGAACACAATCTGCACTGCCGGAGCAAGCATGGGGAGCAAGGTGGAAGCAAACGTCCTTGAGTTGCCCAGAATACCTTGCGTGTAGTTATTCCACTCTACCAATTCCACTGTTTATTCTGTTTAACCAAACTGCTCGTACGTGGTAGTTTCAATATCGCTGTCCCTATCCAGTTAATGGCTTTTACAGGAACCAAAGCTTTCTGACTCAAAGCTGTGGATATTGAGCAGATGAAGCAATGCCACATGATCTGCCCCCCTCGGCCATGTCGTGCGACAGTGGCGGCACCCCCAAGCAGGCGAACTTGTTAAAAGGAGTACGTCACGCTGAGTTCCCGTCCACTCCTCCAATTTTGCCGCAGCAACTTTTCCCACTCCTCAGAGTCACTCCCGCTCAGAATCCAGTCAGACTCCCTCATAGGAACATTTGACTCCCGCCCTCACTGTGCTTTTGGAACTCACTTTCTCTAACTCCACAACTCAAAATTTAAAATGATCTCAGATGCAACAAACTGCTTTTTTCCTCTTCATCCTTTCTCAGTCTACGTCAGTTTAGCACTGAATTGTTAAATGCCAATCTGTTCCAATAGGTCCAGCTACCATCTCTTTCTCGAAATCGCCACAACCACCAGCTCACCAGGGGGCAACAGGGGGTTCTCATAGCCATAGCGCCGGATGTACTTTTTTCGCTCCCAGAAGCGCACCGAAATTTGAATGGGACTCCGAGCCGCCAATCGTTGCAGGGCCGAGTGCAAAATAGTGCTCATGGTTTCGCCTGAAAGAGTGTAGAGAAAACAAATATGGCAGCACAATTAGGTTGAGGCTAAATGTAAGAAAACTTTTACTTGTTTTAACATTCCCTTTTGCATGTCATTTGTTTTGTTATGAAATTAGCAATCTGTGTTGTGTTGCAGGGTAACCAATGTCCAAGAATTTCAGTCCTGTTTCTGATTTAGCCTAGTTGGTCGAAGCCCATCATTCATGTGATGCAAAGAATGCAACATGTTAACCTAATTGAAGAAAATGTGTTTCTTCCACCAACAGTTCGTATTACACAAGCATAGCCGTGGCCATTATTTTTCATTCGCGGTTCATTCCATTTTTATCAAGCACATGCTGAGCAACCTTGCATTCTTCCAACGGCAACTGACACCGAATTTCAGAGCTGACTTTACTCCTCCATAAAAATCATGTGTGTACAGAGATGGGTCGGAGCAAGTGCAAAACTCGGGTAATGCTGATTAGACTATTTTCTTTATTAAAGTATAATTTAGTATGGTATGCCCACAGATATTGACACCAGCATGACATAAGGCTACAGTATCAATTCTGACTTTATGCATCATTACGACATCAGTATCAGGTGCCAAAACATACGAAATGGCCAGTTGTGAATTAAAAAAGAGTGGCGGTGCGGAGCAGTAACGACATGATATTTTGCACGAGCCTGTGAAGAGGAGGTCATACCGTGTCGTGAAGTCAGGATATAGTAGGAACCGAAACAAAATATGTTTTAAATACTTTTTTAGGGCACACTCGCGCTTACCGGCGCAATTTCTAGGCACTTGAGGGCTTGGCCTTTTACACGACAGAAAAAACGACAACTGAAAATTTTCGTGTCAGTAACTTACAACAACTGTGATTAATTACTGTGTCTAGCACCTTAGAATTTCTGTGTTGTACATCATTTTGAAGGTAGTTCACTACCAAACTCTTTCAAGTTCTCTTTCAAGTTAATTAAGATAGCTTGCTATTGCAGCATTGCAATGCCTCCATTCTGCACGGAGAAGTGCACTGTACCATCAAGCCTAGTACTGGCTTCTAGTATGTGTTCCAGGTAACCAAAATGCTCCAATATTTAAGCGACTTATGCTCAGCACCAGAATTCTGCAGGTCAGAGCAGCACCACTACAAGAGATATGCATGATGTAAATTAATTTACATTAATGCAACTCGTGAAAGTTGTTCCTAAACTTTTAGAGCTGAATGAGATGACAGTTTCCATAACATTTAGTAAAGTTGTCTTCAATACTAAAACACTTCCTCAGTTTATTTTAAGGGTGCTGATAACATGTCAGTGCAGCTATTTGAAGGTTCTGAACAATACTTCACAGAAGCCTGCCATTTTAAGGATGTATTATAGGTGCCTACTCTTCAGGGTACCCACCGGAACGGACACCAGAGATATGCTAACATGCTAACACCGTAATATGCTAGTATACATGAACTGTTGGCCGCAAGAATGCACAGAGGCCTTCTTGTGACAAATACATGACTTGGATATGTGTTAGAGGTTTGAGGCAACAGACGTGTTTTACTGGCATCATTAAGTAGGTCACAGCACAAAAGGTGCACATTATGCACCGCGTGAAACCCAGTATAATAGGTAAAGCAGCCTTTCCATTGTTAAGCAACAGTTCAGAGGGCTGTAACTGGTTAGACCTTCACGTATTTATGGTTGCAAACTGTAATATGCAGCCCGAAAGTAGAATAGAGTAGAAAAGAAATAACAATTTACGAAACTGACTAACAAAGATTGGCAAAAAAAAGAAGGGAGTTACAGAGAAACAATGCCGAGTTCTAAAAGGTTAAAAAAAACACGCTGTTATTTAATGCACAGTTTAATGCAGCTGTTATCATGAAATGTGCTTGATGTACACGACTGATGAAGTTGTGCCACTGTCACTTCCGATCGCTATAGGCTCGATTGAAATCGAGTTTATTCATCATGATAGATGTCAGACTTTGCCCAGGCGGCGATGCGAAAAATGCCGCCACTAGTGCCCCATTCACACGCTGGCCATAAATCGGTAGTGCAAAGCGAGCCATACGCAAGCGAATGTGCAAAGGCCCTCCTCTTTCGTTGGTCGTGAGGCGCGGTTTTCTCGAAATCAAGGACTAGACAAGCTTCTTTCTTCAATCCAACCTCACATCAGAAAAGTAGGAAGTTCACCAAAACGAACTGCGGGCACAATGCAAAATATGATTCAGTTTCGGCATACTGCAACTGGGAGTTTAAGTGCAAGCAAGCATCGCACAACATCAAGTTCGAGGCAGGCACTCCGACGCTCGTTCTGTAATGGCTAAATGCATTAAACTTGGGCATACACATGATTCCAAAACAATGAAGTTCAAACACGAGCAATCTATCTTATGATCAGTGGTACAAAGCTCGCTTTGTCCGGCACAAATATCCCTAGCAATTTTTACCTTTGCAGTTGCATTCTCCATCGACCTCTCGCTTCCTGTGTGTTGAACTGTTCTTTATTTTTAATTTCATGCTGTGCAGCTCCAGATTATCAGTGGTAGCGGGGTGTGCGATGGTTACCATGCGCGTCACCTGTCTACTGCTGCACTGGGGGCACCGCGGTCACAGGCTCTGTTAAGCTTCATATTCAAAGTTAGCACAGTTCTCCATCGAAGCTACTCAAAACAATAACTCGAGAACTACATTACCACACTTTCTCATGCGAACAGCGAGTAATTCGCTTACCCAACACATTCACAACGGCCCGTATCCCGCGCTCTCGCCATTCTGCTTCGCGAAATTGCGAAAACTAATAAAACTGAAGTCCTTTACGTCCGTAGCAATTCACAATGCAACAGTAGTGTCGATGGGGGTCTGTTTTTATGCAGCACAGAGCTGTTGCGTCTGCTTTTGTTTTTGCCGTCGTTCTGGCGAGTGAAACAGAAAGCACTCTTGGCGGTTCGGTGATGCGTCAGACTGGCGGCGAGAAATTCATAGCTCTTTTTTTAAGTGTTAGGTGCGCAGACAAAGCTAATATTTAGCTCAATCATTGTTTCATATGCTGTAGTTTCACCTGTTTATGCAGTCAACTGTGCAAGGGAGTCGGGCTTTGCACAACCCAAAAATGCAACGACAGGTGGTGCTGGGTGTGGGCAAAACTACCTCAGATTTGCCAATGCAGTTGTCTGCATGACAGCGGCCACCAGAGAATGGCTGGAGCGGCGGCAACGAGAAGTTGGCTGCACGGTGCTTGCGTGCCATGGAAGAGTGGCAAACAAGGCAGTTCAGGGGGACTTCGGCTGGTCTGGTTTTGAAGCTCGCGAGGCCTACAGCAAGTTAGTGTACAGGGGTCACCTTCAATTCATGTGCCGAGAGTGCTGGGGAAGACAGGTATTCGAATACCTTGCGACGATGTGTATGCATACAAGTTGGGTGAACCAGGTGTACCAACTAGAAAAGAAGTACATACCACTCACAGAGCCGGTACAGGCAGAAACTCCAAGACTCTATACCAAGGAGGTGCGTCAACGAGTGCGTGACAAGAAGGAGAAGCTGTGGCAACATGCAATGAGTGGAAAAACTACCCTTGAACTTTACCGCAACAGTAAAAGCACAATAGGCTCAGTTCACATTTACGACAACAGCACCGGGAGTTGGGTTTTGTTCGAGGCATAAGATGGCGCACTTCAGACCCTTACGTACAAGAGAACGATGCGCAGGGAGATGGCTTCAGAGCTGTGTCGCGGCTGTGGAAGTGCGGACGAGACAATTGCACATCTTGTGATTGAGTTCAGACAGATAGGACTCTCGCGCATGGAGTCATTGCGCACCACGCTGGACATTGCAGATTGATTGATTGATATGTGGGGTTTAACGTTTCAAAACCACCATATGATTATGAGAGATGCCGTAGTGGAGGGCTCTGGAAATTTCGACCACCTGGGGTTATTTAACGAGCACCCAAATCTGAGCACACAGGCCTACAACATTTCCGCCTCCATCGGAAATGCAGCCGCCGCAGCCGGGATTCGAACCCGCGACCTGCGGGTCAGCAGCCGAGTACCTTAGCCACTAGACCACCGCGGCGGGGCGGGCATTGCAGAGGAAGATGGAGAGACTGATCTACAGGCAGCAAGAGTGTCGATGCAGCGCCTTGAATGCTGGAGGGCAGTGGTTGTGGCATGGTGGTCGATAACACACGGTGGCGCAGTGTAATGTCTAGAAAGAGACAGTGCAGTGTCAAAGCGCGGTTGTGTTAGCAAACACAAACTGAGCTCGCCCTTGTGCTCATGCTTTCTTCGAATGTGCCCCACCCTTTTCGGTTTGTTCAATTTTTTTCCCCTTTTGCTGGGCGCGTCTGTTGGTTCTTTATTGGTTTTTTGTTTTTGTTTTTCTTACTAATTTTCATTTTTTCTTCTTTTTATGTTTCATATCTGTGTGCTAGGGTGTCTTTACGTACTGTAAGTACACCCGCCCGTTAAAAAGGGAAGAGCAGCAAATCATCATCATCATCATCTAGAAACTGACGTCTATTGGCTTAACAGCGCAGAAAACTCTTCGTGAGGTGACAGGCGAACGCCGATTCTTGTGCGCTCGCACGCTTGCTTGCTCTGGGGGTTTGGCTGAAATCTGAGTAGCCTCTACTGAATTTCTTCTTGGATAGGCGTATCTAAAGCCTTAGCATTGATTAGCTAGTACCCTTCTGGCTAGTCAATCCAGACAGATGCCGCTTTCTTCGCCTGGACCAGGGACTTATCTCTGGTCTGCTTCTCTTTCACCGCAGGAGCTACCAGTGGACCAGTTCCTACGCAATGGCGTCGCTTCCGTTCCTGTGGCCCTAGTCCCAAGCAACGACGGAGTCATTAAGATGAAAAACCCCTAAAGTGATCCAGTCGGAACTCAAAGCAGCGACAACTCACTATCACACCATCACAGAGGTCCGGCAGTTTGGCAAGGGAGGCATTGTCTGCTTTTCTCCTGACCAGCTCTGTGTCAAAGACTTACTTAAATGCTCGATGTTCGCTACC